TTCTTCCTTTCAACCAGTTCATGATCCACCTCACTACCTGATCATCAAGACCACACTTCCTCAGTTTATCTATGAGGGTGCTATGGGAGACAGTGTCAAATGCTTTACTGAACTCAAGATAAACCACATCTACCGCCCTACCATCATCTATCCACCTAGTTACTTCCTCATAGAAGACTGTAAGGTTGGTCAAACATGACTTCCCCTTACCCCCTCATCCTTGATATGCCTAGAGATAATGCCAAGAACAAGCTGTTCCATCACCTTTCCAGGGAGGGAGGTGAGGCTGACAGGTCTATAGTTACCCAGGTACTCCTTCCCCTTCTTGTGGACTGGAGTGACATTTGCTATCCTCCAGTCCTCAGGCATCTCTCCTGTTGCCCACAACTCACCAAAGATGATGGAGAGTGGCCTAGCAATGACCTCTGCCAGTTCCCTCAGCACCCATGGATGCATTCCATCCAGACCCATCGACTTATGGATGTCCAGATTGCTTAACTGATCCCTAACCCAATCCTCATCTACCAAAACAAACTCTTCCTTCATCCTGACTTCTTCTGGGGCTATATGAATCTGGGACTCCTGGGGAGAGTCTGCAGGAGTAAAGACAGAGAGGCAAAGAAGACATTCAGTACCTCTGCCTTCTTTATATCCTAGTGACAGCTAGGGCACCCACCTCATTCAGCAGTGGGCCTGTATTGCCACTAGGCTGAGTAAATCATTCACCCAGTCACAGCTTACGCAGGTGTTCTCTCTGCTCTCCTTCGATACGACTGACAGGCTGAGACATTCTGTGCAGCCAGAGACCTGGACAGCTGCATTCTTGAGAGACGCCTCTGTCTGGGTTGCCACTGTCCTCCTGGCAACAGTTTTTGCCCGAGTGGATGCCATGGCTGGGCCCTCTTCGGGAGCCGGGGGGATGATCACTAGCTGAGTTCTTACCTGGTGCCAAGAGGGGGCCTGTGACCTGCTCCATGCACCCTGCCTGCACAAACTGTTGCGCCAGACCCTGTTTGCCTACTCCTGTTTTGCCTACTTCTGTTTGCCTGCTCCTGGTCACTGTGCTCCCCAGGGGCTGCTCTTCCACCTGAGGGGATCCGGCCGCTGTTTCTCCCCAGAAGCTCTCACTCCCCACCCAGGGATAGGGGCTGGGACTGACTCCCTCCCACTCTCTCAGTTTCTCTCTCTCCAGCCTTCTCTTCCTTAGTTTTGCTGAGGGTTTTCTTGTGGTTTAGCCACTGCAGAAGGGTCCACCAGCAGAATCCCTCACTCTGGTGTTCCTTGCCTCAGTGCTTTCACCAAATTTCCTGATTCGTTATTTCTAAACTGACATCTAGGCTGTTGGGCAGGACCATACTCTTCCTGGTGCAGTGCTAGGGCCTATGTGACACTTTGCAAAGTATTAATCCTTCAAGAAGTGGCACGTAGCACACATACATGCTGTCTGGTGGTAGCGGGTACTTGGGACCCCAGCATATGCACTCCCCACTTGTGTGTATGCATTGTGTAACTGCTAAAGCTGCTATCTCACCTCCTTCAAGACATGACGTACTATCCCCCTAACTGTAGTCTCTCCGTGACTTACAGATGAAGCTGTCCTGCTGTTTATTTCAGCAAAAAAATGTACCTATATGCTACATTTCCTGGGTTGAAGGAAAGCTGTCTGGTTAGCATACAGCAAACCACCTAATACATTTAAACATTGTAATTGTGAAGTGATTACTCTGAGAAATTCTGACAAGTTAGCAAACAGTTACAGTACCCAAGCAATAGTTTGAAAGAAGAAAATTTGTACAGCTAAGCCTATATCTAAGACCTACACTTAAAAAAGCCACAAATTCTGATTAATTTAGCAAATGCTAACACAAATGAAGCAAAATACGTATGAAAAGAGAACAATCTATGCCCCGCTTTGGTAGCTGATGAATGCTTACACAAAAACAGAATTTCACAAAGCTTCAAGACTGGAATTTTCCTGCTCCCTATTTCCTCCTTAAAAATAAATCACTGTCTCTGAACATTGGAATTCTGGTCTATTGTGAGCTGAGCTGAAATTATGTAGTGGATTCAGCATATACTGGAAAAGCAGAGAACTCCTGCTATCTTTGTAAGCTAGTTGAAAAATGAAAAAAGATTAGAAAAATAAGTTCTTCAATAGGCAGCAACATTGCTTTCACACCAGATTTGATGAATAAGTCCTCCCAGCGGCACTAACACCTGATACGCACATTGCATGGATTAGCAAGTTTTAGTCCAGTCAGAAGAAAAAACATTTTTTTTTCCCCTTCCAGTAACTGCTGCAGGTATATTATCTAACAAAAACACAACAAGATTTCTCTGAGGAATGTGAAATTCGTTTGGTGTTTCCATCAAACAATTATATGTTCTTCATCCACTACTTGAGAAGCACTGAGGCATATCCAGACCTGATTACATTTGTTCTTAGCTCCAGATCAGACTACCTCACTACAGCAGCAAGCCACTTCTCATCTCTGCCTTACCAGATCCTTGATGCAGGCATACCCAAGAGAAGGATTTCTAGTAACAATATAGCCATATTTGCTTAATATCTTGATCATCCCAAATCATAATGCCTTTGATCACTAAAAGAGCCTAATGGAGTGTTTCAAAGTAAAGGATACATTTTCAAAGACATATAACAGAGATTTTCTCTCTTGTGTTAAGACCGGTGGGAGGTAAACAGCTCAATTCCCATACATTGGGCTGAAATGTACCCTTTCCAGTATTGTATTTTGAAAAGGCATCAGACTTTTCCATAACTAAGAAGGTTCTAAGAAAAAGGGTATCATTTCCACTGATACATCTGTCAGTTAATGTGGCTTCAAGGAAAACATCAGGCCTGCAGAAAAGAGAACAGTTCGAACACTTCCCAAAGAGAAGAATACAGGGTGCTCCTGAGGATTGTGTGCCTTGGGATACAAAGCATGTATTGTTTTGCACTGCTGCATGTGTCAGACACTCCCCCTCTACATGCAGAACGGGGTACAAGGTTAAGTGAAAAGCAGTCTTGCTACAAACAGCACTTTTGCATACCAGTGTCCACTGAAGACTAGCTTTTAGTGATTATTAACAGGATGTACACAAAAAAATAGCAAATCAGCACAAAAAAAAAGACTCAGAGGAGCATGAAGGTAAACAAGGATTACAGTCACCTCATGAGCACAATGAACATTATCATACCATGTATTCATTGCAAATGTGAAGGCAAACAGAAGTTTTCCCCAGTTGCCTGCAAATTCTGTTCATATGTACTTACATAAGTGCACAATGTGGTCCTTAACAGTTTCGGAAAAACATGGTAGTTTATATAAGCGCATAAGGGAAATCAAAATCTCAATTGCTTTTTGGAAATGCAATAAACTACACATTCTTCTCCCTGATGATTTTTACCATTAATAATGTAATCTCACAAACTAAGTATCAAGAGGTGTAAACAAGTTGCTAGAACGGATTCTTGAGAGCTATTCTTAGCATCATAGCAGGGTTTTTCTATTCAGCAAGGAGTTTTTGCAAATTATCTCTGAGAGACAGATAAGGATATATGGAGTTCCCACTCTCATATCCTTTATTAAATACATATTACTTATTTAATTAAAAGACTTTGTAAGATTAGTTTTGATTCATCTGGTCAAATGGCAAAGACTAATTAGAACAACCAATGTTTGGAAGTCAATTAGAAAATTATCAATCTTAGCTGCAAAAGTAACAAACATGAACTGAATATTAAGAAGTTATCTTCTCAAGGTCAAACTAAGTATTTAATGAGGTTCCAACTGCCTAATTTAAAAAAAAAAAAAAACAAAGCCAAACAAAAAAACAAAAAAGCCCAACAAAAACAGTCAAACAAACAAAAAAACTCCAAACCAGCAATAACACGTATCTGAGAAGGTACTTACTACAATGTCTTCGGGAAAAGTATCCAGACTGAAAGAGCCATCATCAAACATGACTTCATAGAAAAGTTGACTTGTCACTCCTATGACTCTGCAACTATAGTATCGTGTATTCCTGTGTTTTGTGATGACTGTCTGCCCAACTGCAATAGTCTTCTCACATGTTTTTGGTCTCTTGAAAAAAAGAAGAATTTAAAAGAAAAAATATTTTTAAAATATTAGCTTACTCATCAGAAATTAGTATCAAAATGGAGTTGATAATAGTTTGCTAAATACAAAAAATTTAAATGCAAAATAATTACTTCCAATCATGAACACAGAAATTTGTTTCATATGCAAAGTTTCTGCAGTTTATGAGAAAACAAACAGTATCTGAATAATAATAACAAATTACAGAATTCAAAAATATTTTTTGCTTCTGTTGCCTTCTACCTATTCTGTATTAGATAAACAACATACAATTAGCAACATTTGTAAATTTTATTTGTAGAATAATTTGTGGAATTTCTTTGAAGAGGTGAGATGTGACAAACTCAGACTATTGAATTGTATTGTTTTAAATGATGGGACTTTTAAGTACTGGGCTTCAGAATGAGTCTAAATAATTGGTTAATATTTTGCTTTTCTTGTCAGAGCTGTATATCACAGTATTTATAACTTCCTAACCCATACTGTGCAGACTTTTTCTTTTAAAACTTCAGAAAACATAGATCACTCTTCATCAGCTATTTATTTATTTAATTAGTAACAAGCTGGGTTTTTTTAATTATTTCTCACTTCTAATTCCTCCAAGATAGTTATGTCAATCAGAAGAACAGCAGGGTTGTTCAACTAAGTTCTACATCAATAACTGCTTGATGGATTCTATAAATAAAAATTGAATGGAAACTTGTGAGTAAATGCTCAGAAACTCACGATGCAGACAGATGTTACATATTAGCTCCCTATTAATATATCCCCCTAAGCCTTCCACTTAAAAAGCAACCTTCTTTACCAGAAAAAAAAGAAATCAAAAGTTTCTTATTCTAATAACATAAAGCAGGCACCTCTTTCTAATGATCCTGACTGTCTTGTCTATTCATTACCACACTAAGGTACATTTGTTTATGCAAAAGTGAATTACTGTGATTTTGGCTATATCTGAACAGCTGAACTTTTATAATGGAAGATGCTACTACAATGGGCAACACATAAAATATTTTTCTTAGAAATGTTTATATAAGCAGCACAATAATACTTCCTTACATACATCTAGTGCCTGCTTATTGCATGGGGGTTAGACTAGATGACCTTAAAAGGTCATTTCCAACCCAAAACATTCTGTGATTCTATATGCTAAAGAAATTAGCTAATTGCCTAGCACTGCTTTCCAAACCTTCAAGGGCAGTAAATTCTTCAGTTAGTATAATAATCTTTAAAAGTGTCTGTGAGAATTTGGAAAATGCTACTGCTATAGCATTTTTTGAACTAATACCAAAGGGAGAACCAAGGACAGCATCAGTTCTTTTTGTTACAATTCAAACATTAATTGTAATGTCAATGGTTTTTGGGAAGAGAAAAAATGATCCTAAACTTGAACACTTCTGTTTTTGTTGAGACTGTAGTCCTTATCATACCTCTTTCCTGGACCCACTTCTGGGATTTAGAATTTTTAAAACTCTCTGCTCTGGCAAACTAAGGGCAAACCAAGTACAAATATTCTGTACCATTTCTGGAGACAGTGCACTAAATCTCTGTGTGTCAGAGCTCTGCCTGACATACTCATTTGCAGGATTTAGTTGAGGTCATGTCAGATAGTAAAACCCAATGATGTTTCTACAGCTTTTTCAAGTTTACCTAGGAATAATGTTCTGAACATAGTAACAAAATATTTAACCATTTACATGTATAAAAAAACCATCTCTTCATTATTTCAATAGATAATTAGCAGGATTTATTTTAATTTTTATCCAATTTTGAATCATACGTAAATATAAATGTTAATTTACCTTTCAATTTTTTACTTTAGACAATTTGGCTATTTGCAGGGGTAGGAGGAAGGTGGGAGGTGGGAATCAGAGGTAAATCGGAGAGTATTATTTTATTTACTTATGTGAGATAATATAAAAAGTTTTATATTATAGTACAAAAGCCCAAGAAGAAATGGTTATACTGAAAGGTTTAAATTCTTCTTCAGGCTTTCTGAAGCCTGAAGATGGAACTCTTCAAAGAAGATAGAAGGTAAAATATAATATGCTAAGAGACAATACAGGCTTATTTAATTATAATTTTTTCAGAGAAAAAATAACATTGATCATTAAAACAAATAAAAAACAGAAATGAAACCTAGCTCAAGGAGAAGATTATTTTTTAGTATGCTCTCTTGGTAGGATTTTTGATTTATTTCTCAGAAAAAATATTGACAAGCACACTCTGTAATTGATTGCATGCCCCAGAAAACATTTTCTGTCAGAAAAATCTTAAGACTTTATTGATGTTAAGAATGTCATTTTTGATTGGAAAGGACATTTGTTATGTAAGGTAGTTTATCAGATTAAAGAAACAGCTGTGTTAGTTACCAGATTACTGAGAAAGCTATGGTTTAAAAAGCAATTATTTTCTTTAACAGTATCTAAGCCCAGGATGAACTAAGATAGTGGCAGAAGTACAGAAAACAACCAGATACGAAGGAAAAAAAGTTAACCCCCCCTCCTGTCTGCAGACTTCAAAATGGTAAGAAGGAAAGTTATTTTCTCCTTCATTTTTTGTATGGTAGGACACAATAATAGAATCACAGGTGTTGGAGACAACCTCTGAAGATCATTGAGTCCAACACCCCTGCTGCAGCAGGAACACCTAGGACAGATCACACAGGAACGTGTCCAAAGTGGTCTTGAGAGTGTCCAGAGAAGGAGTCTCCACAACTTGCAGTGCATGCAAGTAGCATGCAGTAGCATGATTGTAGAATAGAATTATGAGTTTTTTGAAGGTAGGACTATGAGAAAATACCATTGGATTTCTCTAAGAATTATATATCTTTGTAAGTTACATGTATTTCATACATTCTGTAATTAGTATGGTAAAGGAGAAAAATCCTGTTTAGCCTATTGCACAAACTCTTAGGAACAGCTTTGCTAGTTTCTGGCCATGCAAACATAAAAAATAAATTTAATTTACTGGGGGACACAGCACACAGAAGTCTGCTTTCCTCAAATTCACTTTGCAAGTCAGTAGCATATACGTCAAATCAATGAACAACCAATTTTGAATAACAGCACTTCTCAAACCGGAGCATGTTGAGATAGAGGAGTTATTTGCATTGTATCATGTATCTAATGTGTCGATATCACAATTGCTTTATGTTGTGTCTAATTCTAAATGACTCTTGCAAATTATTAGCCAGAGTAGGTAAATCTCTGTGTTTTGGAGGGAAGAAGAAGGGGAGGAATCAGAATGGAAACAGTAAGGGACTTCTGCTGAAATAGAATCATAGAATCATAGAATAAATTACAGAATCATAGAATCATAGAATAAATGACAGAATCATAGAATCATAGGGGTTGGAAGGGACCTCTGAAGATCATTGAGTCCAACACCCCTGCTGCAGCAGGAACACCTAGGACAGATCACACAGGAACGTGTCCAAAGGGGTCTTGAGAGTGTCCAGAGAAGGAGACTCCACAACTTCTCTGGGCAGACTGTTCCAGTGCTCTGTCACCCTCACAGTAAAGAAGTTTTTCCTCATATTGAGGTGGACCTTCCTGTGTTGCAACTTGGTGCCATTTCCACTCATCCTATCTCAAGGCACCACTGAAAAGAGACTGGCCCATTCTTGACATCTACACTTCAGATATTTATGGACATTAATAAGGTCCCCTCTTAGTCTTCTTTTCTCAAGGTTAAATAGCCCTAGATCTCTTAGCCTTTCCTTGTACGACAGATGTTCCTGTCCCTTAATCATCCTTGTAGCTCTCCGTTGGACTCTTTACAGCATATCACAGTCCATCTAAAACTGGGGAGCCCAGAACTGGACACAATACTCCAGATATGGCCTTACTAGGGCAGAGTAGAGGGGGAGGAGAATCTCCCTTGATCTGCTGGACACACTGTTCTTAATGCACCCCAGGATACTCTTGGCCATGAGGGCACATTGCTGTCCCATGGATAACTTGTTGTCCACCAGGATCCCAAGGTCCTTCTCCACAGAGCTGCTTTCTAGCAGGTCAACCCCTAATCTATATTGGTGCATGGTGTTTTTTCTCCCCAGGTGCAGGACACTACAACTATATTATACAATAATGTTGTTAAATAAAGTACCTAAATTATATGTATATGAAATAATAACAATTATCTTGAAAATGGCATCTGAAATATATCTAAATATCTAGAAATGTTCTCTCATTACGCTTTTTAATGGGTGATTTTCAAAACTCTGAGAACTATTTGATACAGGAACATAACCCTCATTTCATCATCTTAAGCTTCCTCCTCTGAACTGCAATTTAGGCATAGAAGTGATGCGCGACATTTCAGAAATATGCCGCCTCATGATTTCTGAATAATATGTTCTTCCTAAGGCATGCCTTAGTCTCTTTGAAATATTAAGGGGATGGCAGTAGTAAGCAGACAGCTGCAAGCAATGAAATTGCATTTCTCAAGTATTGAATAGATAGGGATCTACAGCTTCCATTTGACAGCATCTCTTTGTTCCCTGTGTGCTACAGAGGTAAGAACTCACCAATAATAGCAGAAGACAATTTGAAATAGGCCAAAGAGCAAGAACAGTAAGTTTTTGCAACTCTTACCCAATGGGTTTTACAACTGCTATCTTTGCCCTTTCTAAAGACACTCACCTATTCAAAATCCACAAAATGGGGCTGCCTAGATGGCCTTTTGTGATCACACTTTCCAAATTAAAAACCACCTGCAAGTATATGTTTGCCTCCAGCTGGCTTTCTTTATCCCTCGCTGCTGTCTTTGCTAATCTTAGAAGGATTCTTTGGTTGTTTTTTTCCTGTTAATATAGTTCCATACAACTTTTTCTCATTTACTTCTATATGAAAGAATGCTTTTAACCAAAATAAATCCATCTGCACCTCCTATTCTCAACCATACTTCCAAGCATTCTTGCAGTTTAATGACAAAAAGGTGTGCCAGATATGTTTCGTGCCCAGAGACAAGCACAGTCAAAATGAAAAAAACATGACCCACTCTCTGTAAGTAGTAAATCACAGAGCCTTTCTTGCATATTGACACTCCAATTTACATAACAAAATAATACAAGCTGTGACAGGAATAATAAAAAACATTCTGTATTAAACTTTTCTGCTAGCAATTTTTTTTATTATTTCTAAAGAGGTAACCTCAACAAATACAAGGGGCATGCTTATTTTTGAGTCCATGAACCTCCAAATAAGGTATTTTTGAAAAGTCATATTAATATGACTTTTAAATTAAATTAAATTTAAAATTAAATTTTAAATTAAATTAAATTTTAAATTTAAATTAAAAGTCATATTAATATGACTTTTTAAAATATATCACAATTCACTTCAGATCACAGCCATACGTAATTTGGATGCACAGCCAACTTCATCATTGCAGTAAGCCCTTGCCTGACATCAAGTGGTGATGCTAATACCAGCAGTAATACATATTTATCTGTACATAGGTGTTTTTTTTGTTCAGCACCCTTACTGATTTACACAGTACCATACTACTATAAATATATGTCACAATTTTTCCTACTGCCCAGATGTCTTCCTTTGATTGTTGAGCTTTAGGTTGTTTGTTGTTTGGGTTTTTTTCTTGTTTAATTTGAAGAATCTAACAAGCACAGGTATTCACTGAGCATATATCTTAGAGGCTATATTAGTGAAAAAGCAGACAATTTTGTGTTTCCTTGAAATGAGAAGAAATAATAGTGTCCTTGATTTATGTAAATGTTTTCAACTTCTAAATACCAGAAGAGATTATTTTTTTTTCCTTGCTGACAATATATTTTATTCCTGTAAAAATCTGCAAAGTGAGTTTAATATTTCATTATTTGCCAGTTCTTCTTTCAAGTAAGGAAGTTAAAACCATAGACAAACAACAAAAGTTCATTAGAAGTAAGATACATTGTTATGCCTAATGGTGAAGAGCCATGTAATTTCTGCATGAAGGAATAGCTAATAGCTATGAAAAGCACAAGAAGAAAACCAGTGGTGAAAAACCTTACAAAAGCTTAAATATGTGACTAGATTAATTATCCAAAAGACAGAATATAAACCCAAGCATATACACATATATGGAAACCTCCTTTGTCTCAAAAGTAAGTTAAGAATTTCACAGAAGATTCTTCATCAAAATATCTGATCTTTCCAAATTCTGGCCAAATGAAAAAACACAACAGCATAATTTTTCTTTCTCTTCTGCAAATCTGATTTTTATTTGAGTCACATGAAATAAGTTAGTAACACAGAATTTTTTCAAAAAGGTTGCTGGTGAGGAAAGGACATGATAATTCCAAGCTACTTTGAAAATCCTTCATACAATCTCTTAAATAGAAGCTACACAAAACCCTGTTACACCACAGTTAGTGGATTTTTTAATTATTTGTCATTACCGAATACAGGTCAATAAAATCACAATTTAAAATGTATTTTATGGGATTCCGTGTCATTCTATTACTAATGTGTCTTTTTCTGATGAATATGTGTTTTGCTTCTTAACATTCAAAATAATAGCTATTTAATAACTTATTTTATGTTCCAGAGAAAGTGTACACTAAGAAAGTTAAGTGCTAAAGTCTTCACTGGTTTATATTAGACTGAAAGCATAAACTCTCCTTAAACAACTTAGCATGTTCTCATTAATATTTTTAGTATTTCTATTGATAACTAACATGAATACAGAAATGCCAGGAAAAAAATTCTGTTTAGGACAGATATACCTCTATATTAACTGCTGTATAAACACAGAGTAAATAATCCAAAACTTCAGCACATTTACCTTGTAGTGCCATAAAAGAAAATAAGGGGAAGAAAATCACATGCATTGTTAAACAGCATAAGGGGACTTCAGCATCAGACAGATATATTAGATGAAGCTGGAAAAATTATGGGGCTGAGAAAGTGGATGCAATATACAAATAAAGTGGGAACAGCAGAAAGTATTATGCAGAAAGTCCCATGTGATCAGGGAAAACATAACTGTCCCACACAAATACTAGAAAATATTTAGGAAAAACAGCCCTATTTTTACCAGCCATGATTTTAATGCAGTAATTTCAACTAAAGAAGATGTTTTCCAAGAAAGCCAAGAAAAGAATCTTAAGTTGCCTGTGCAGACAGCTGATCGTTTGTTTTTCAAACTAAACTCATTTTCTTGAAAAATTTTTGAAGAAACTCTTTACAAGGCTTAGCAGTTCTCTGAATGTTTTTAACAGGGACATACAATTTGTTTCCCTTTTTAAGAACCACCAGCAGACTGAACACACAGGGCTAGATGATTATGCTAGTTAGGAGGCATTACAATTTACTGCACTTGAGAGAAAATCTTACTCCTCAGTAGTCTTGTCATTAAGACCAAAGATTCACTGACAGCTTCCTGAAAGAAAGTCATACAGACATTACCTGAATTTATTATAGTGTACAAAGGAGATTAAAAGTTTCAACTTGTGAATCAACTTGACTAACTTAACAAGCCCATTCCTTAATAAGACTAGATCAAGTCCTTCTAGTTTTTCAGGAAACAAAATATTTTAAAGTCTAAGATAAATGGCAATAGGTCTCTCTGAATTGAGATAGTAACAATTCATTTTAAAAAATGAATTAAGATCTACAATATAACTTGTTCTTCATATGTCTCATTTAAAATTAAGGGTTCCTCTTCAGCACAGTCTACAAATAAAAAGGCACAGTCATAACACTAATTTTCTTGACATATTTGTGTTACTTTGCCAGATGAGAGAATAATTATAACTGAATGTTTGCAAGATACTGTTTGGCTGTGGAACAAAGTTTCTGTGAGTATTTGCAAGATACTGTAACCTGTGACCTGGGTATTTGTAATTGTCATAGTTTGACAGGACAGTAATACACTCTGGGTTAACAAACAGAGAACTCAAAGATTTGTTCTAGCTCTCAAAACAATAAATTCAACAATTACTCTAATACAAAAAATGTGTTAGGCATATCAATTACCATTTCTCTCAGGTAACTGCATAAGAAAATAACTCTCAAGATGTAATGGTTTGCTTCGTATGGAAGTATGATAGATAGAGCTCTTATAATAATATGTGGTATGGATCTTTTCTTCTATTTTCTCTGGAAAATACTTTAATTCTGCAATTCCATATTTTAGCAAATAAGGAAAGAAATTCCTTACCACATTTTGGTTGATCTTGTGCCTGAAACATGTGACATAGACAACATACGGCCAGTCATCAGGTTCCATCAGTACTCCTGCAGCATGGGCACAGGTTACATGGAAGGAGGCTGGGCAGCGTCCATATGAACACTGAATGCAGGCACCAGAGATTTTCTTAACTCTCTGTCTGCAGAAGATACATTTCTGTAGAAGCAAAATAAACAGAATATTTAGAATGCTACTCCAACTTCTTTGACTTCTGAAAGTATCTCAAGGACTGAAAAGTTATTTATTATATATTCATTGATTATATTTTATACTTTGCAAAATGCTTGGCAAAAGAACCCATACTTATGAATTACAAGGTAATTTAGTAATACAATAATGAATATATAGTATTTTTGCTTTTTTATGTCAATGTGAAGACAACCTGTCCTATAGTAAGAAAACTGATATATAGATAGCTACTTATTTCAAATTCCCTACCCTCCTTTGAAAACTAACCTGCTCTTCCTAAAATGGTTAAATCAAAAAACGTATACATAAGGTTGCAAAAAGTAATAACAAAACTCAAAAATAAAGATAGGAACCCCACAGAAATGTAGGGCTAGACAACATTTCCACTTACCATTTAACCAAGCCCCCTGCTTTGAACCTGGAGTAAACATATACTTAGTCTTTGGGAGATGGCTAATCTAACATGTTAATGAAAAGCTTTCTACATCATCTTCAGATAACTTTTTATAGTGGATGAAATGTTCTGCTTATCACAAACCTTTGCATAATACCACACCTGAAGGCTGCTCCTAAGCCCCTTTTCATTTTTTCTAGTCTGGTTTTCACTGGTTGTATATTTAACAGGATAGTGATTGAGTAGATGGTGTTTCCCTGCTTCATATATTTAAACATCATGTGAATAGTCTTACTGGTGTCAATATACACCACTTTTTTTCTTTTTGGCAAAATGGAGACCACATTAACATACTGTCAGTATTTTGTAATTGACATAAGTGGCCCATATGAAACAAATGACAGTACATGAGCTAGAATAACAAAGTTTAGTAAATAAGCTCCACCATACTGTGCTGGTTTGAGTCAGAATAACGCAAATTTTCTTTTTACTGATTTTATTTTTTTTTTCCTTCAGCAAGCTCTATTTTAACTAGCAGCAAATTTTCCAGCCAGTGGACTGATAACACTGCAATGTTTATGATACTGCTAAGATAACCTGTGACCTGGGTATTTGTAATTGTCATAGTTTGACAGGACAGTAATACACTCTGGGTTAACAAACAGAGAACTCAAAGATTTGTTCTAGCTCTCAAAACAATAAATTCAACAATTACTCTAATACAAAAAATGTGTTAGGCATATCAATTACCATTTCTCTCAGGTAACTGCATAAGAAAATAACTCTCAAGATGTAATGGTTTGCTTCGTATGGAAGTATGATAGATAGAGCTCTTATAATAATATGTGGTATGGATCTTTTCTTCTATTTTCTCTGGAAAATACTTTAATTCTGCAATTCCATATTTTAGCAAATAAGGAAAGAAATTCCTTACCACATTTTGGTTGATCTTGTGCCTGAAACATGTGACATAGACAACATACGGCCAGTCATCAGGTTCCATCAGTACTCCTGCAGCATGGGCACAGGTTACATGGAAGGAGGCTGGGCAGCGTCCATATGAACACTGAATGCAGGCACCAGAGATTTTCTTAACTCTCTGTCTGCAGAAGATACATTTCTGTAGAAGCAAAATAAACAGAATATTTAGAATGCTACTCCAACTTCTTTGACTTCTGAAAGTATCTCAAGGACTGAAAAGTTATTTATTATATATTCATTGATTATATTTTATACTTTGCAAAATGCTTGGCAAAAGAACCCATACTTATGAATTACAAGGTAATTTAGTAATACAATAATGAATATATAGTATTTTTGCTTTTTTATGTCAATGTGAAGACAACCTGTCCTATAGTAAGAAAACTGATATATAGATAGCTACTTATTTCAAATTCCCTACCCTCCTTTGAAAACTAACCTGCTCTTCCTAAAATGGTTAAATCAAAAAACGTATACATAAGGTTGCAAAAAGTAATAACAAAACTCAAAAATAAAGATAGGAACCCCACAGAAATGTAGGGCTAGACAACATTTCCACTTACCATTTAACCAAGCCCCCTGCTTTGAACCTGGAGTAAACATATACTTAGTCTTTGGGAGATGGCTAATCTAACATGTTAATGAAAAGCTTTCTACATCATCTTCAGATAACTTTTTATAGTGGATGAAATGTTCTGCTTATCACAAACCTTTGCATAATACCACACCTGAAGGCTGCTCCTAAGCCCCTTTTCATTTTTTCTAGTCTGGTTTTCACTGGTTGTATATTTAACAGGATAGTGATTGAGTAGATGGTGTTTCCCTGCTTCATATATTTAAACATCATGTGAATAGTCTTACTGGTGTCAATATACACCACTTTTTTTCTTTTTGGCAAAATGGAGACCACATTAACATACTGTCAGTATTTTGTAATTGACATAAGTGGCCCATATGAAACAAATGACAGTACATGAGCTAGAATAACAAAGTTTAGTAAATAAGCTCCACCATACTGTGCTGGTTTGAGTCAGAATAACGCAAATTTTCTTTTTACTGATTTTATTTTTTTTTTCCTTCAGCAAGCTCTATTTTAACTAGCAGCAAATTTTCCAGCCAGTGGACTGATAACACTGCAATGTTTATGATACTGCTAAGATTCCAAGGTTGCTTTGCTGTACTTGTTGAATCTGCAACCTCTGATGCTAAACGAGCAAAAGAGTTGTATCTGCAGCACTTCACAGGGAGGTGTGGATTAGACTGACAGCAAAACTGACCAAAGTATTCCATTCCATATATCTATGTAGTGCTCAGTATAAGGTCAGGGATCATGGAACTCAAGTCTCTTCCTTCCTGTTTCTTCCCTTCTCTCCCATCCACAGCTGGTGTCCAGGCAGGACTCCATCACTGTTGATCTCCAGGCCCATACATTCCTGACCCTCATAACTCTTCCCTCAGCTCCTGTCTGCTCTGTCGCTTTCTCCAGCAGCTTCAGAGCTATTTCAGAGCTGCTCACAGCTCAGGAGATGCCGTGGGACTTGCTGCGGGTGGGTGGAGGCAACAGGGTTCTGTACATTCCTGCACACACTTGTATATAATTGTACATATTTTCTTTTATCATTAGTATTTAATTAAAGCTGTCTAGTTTAGTGTTTAATCCAGAGCGTCTATCTCTTTATTCTTGCTCTTCTTTCCTCACCTGGGGAAATCAAAAGCATTACTGTTGCTGGTTCAGTTGCTGATCCTGAGTCAAACCGTGACACATACAAAAAAAGACAAAGCAATATGACTGCCAAAAGACATTATCAAGAACACTAGATAGAATAATTACTTTGGTAACTTCCATGGACAACTGTGTTGTATCACAAATGGGAAGTATCCTCTGGCAACTCTCATCATGGCCAACGAAACTGCAAATGCTACTGATGATTGCAAAATTACCTCAGCTATTCTTACAGACATTTTACTCAATGACACAAAACAGTGAATTCAATAATTCGAAAACATACTACTGGAATAATGATTACTTCAATTAGTTCAAAATTTGCTAGTCATTGATTTTTGTTTAACACCCTCTTATCTGCCTATGCTGGGAACATAAGCAAGAATAATTTTGTTTCTTTTACTGTATGGTTAAGAATTCAAAGTATTTTAAATTAAGTCATATAAAATTCTTCCCAGGTTACCAGAGAATTTTGTTCTATTGTTTATTTCCATACTCTGAAGAAAATCTGCAGAAATACTATACTATAATTCAGCACTTACATAGTTTCAATGGCTTCTAGCACTCAGTTTGTGACTGAAATAATGCTGTTTGCAAGTGCTAGCTCTGTCAGGCTCATCAGTCATGCAGGCTTCTAGTTCACATATAATTCTGAACATGAAAAACTCTTCAAGTACTGCCTTCATATCCACCCTCTAAAAGCCAACAGCCTGCCAAGCTTTGCCAAAGCAGAAGCAAGAATAGCAGCTGGCGTCTGAAACTTTGCTAAAACTTTCGGCTATCATTAACTAAAAGGACCAGAACTCAGCTCAGTCTGCTGTACTGGAATCAAGTCTGAAAGAGTAGTAACGGGTAAAGATGATTTCACCATTAAAATAAATGTTCCAGAGCCTTCATTCATATGCTGACATCTCATCATGCATTTGTATTCCTGTGCATGAAGCTCTCTTTAGATAGTCAAGTGACTGCTTCTCAAGGGAGCTTAAGGGTTTTTATATTTAGACATATTCAGAACTAAATACATTGGGAATTCCAGAAAGAAAACAGAATTTAAATCTATTACATGTAGTGTCTAAACACTAAGTTCATGCAAGCACACAGTTCCTTTTGAATGCTTTTTAACACAGATATAGAGACAAATTCACCAGTAAGCATAATGAAAGAAGAAAGACTAGCATACAAAACATGTGTAAGTATAAACAAAAAACCCCAAACCAAAAACACCTGGCTACATGTTCTGACTAAAATACTAAAAAATGCAATTCAAAGAAAATTTAGAGAATGGGAAGAAAGGGATAAATATAGTGAAATGCAGATAAACCAGTAGCATCATAGAATCATAGAATTCCAGATTGGAAGGAACCTTATGGATCATTTGGTCCAACCTTTCCAGCTAGTACTGTAGTTTATATGAGATGGCTCAGCACCCTGTCAAGCTGAGATTTAAACCTGTTCAATGTGGGGGAATATACCACTTCCTTTGGGAGACTATTCCACTGTTTGATTGTCCTCATGGTGAAAAATTTATCCTTATGTACAATTAGAATCTCCCCAGGAGCAACTTGTGCCCATTGCCCCTTGTCTTTCCATGTGACTCCTTGCAAATAGGGAGTGTCCACCTTTTTGGTAGCCACTCTTTAAGTACTAGAACATGGTAATAAGGCCTCCCCGAAGCCTTCTCTTTTCAAGGCTGAACAAACACAGTTTTCTCAGCCTCTCCTTACATGGCAGGTCCTCCAGTCCTCTGACCATCCTTGTGGCCCTTCTCTGGACTCTCTCCAGCCTGTCCACATCCTTTCTGTAGAGCAGGGACCAAAACTGAACACAATACTCCAGGTGTGGTCTGACTGGCACCAAATAGAGTGGGATGATGACTTCTTAATCTCTGCTGGTGACGCTGTTGTTGATGCAGCCCAGCAGCCTGTTGGCTTTCTTTGCCCCTGCATCACACTCTTCATTCATGTTGAGTCTGTCAGCCACCAAGACCCCCAGGTCCCTTTCCACAGGGCTGCTCTCCAGCCATGTGGATCCCAGTGCGAACTGCACTCCTGACTTATGTGCTGGTTACGTGCTGCCAGGTGCTAGCCCTTACTTCTCCCCATTGATATTCATAAGGTTCCTGCTAGCCCACTTCTCCAGCCTTTCTAGGTCATCCTGGAGGGCAGCTCTCCTTTCTGGAGTGTCAACCTCTCCACTTGGTGTTGTTCGCAAACTTCACCAGGGTGCTCTTGATCTCAACATCTAGGTCACTTAGGAAGATGTTAAACAGCATTGGGCCTAGTATCAACCCCTGGGGGCCCCCACTTATAACTGGTTGCAAGTTGGAGGGGGAACTATTTACTAGCACCCCCTGGGTAGGGTATGTCAGCCAGTAACTCACACACAGCACAGACCACTTGTCAAGGCGGTAATGAGTCAGTTTCTCCAGGATGAATTTTGAAAAGTACACATATGCACAAATATATTTTCACTATACAAGAAAATTCACATTATGTAGCTGTGTCAGGCAGCATGGCCTCATACAGAGATGAAAGAAAAAGCTCCTTCATCAAGAAAAGTCAGAGAGTTAATCTACCATATTTTATTAATAAAATCATAACACACAGAATGAAAGCAGAACAAACTATAAACATCTGTTTTGTATAGACTTTTGGAAAGTTTTAGCTGAACTACATACCAAGATGTATATTAGTTGTTAGTAGTAAAGAGAACTGTGCTGTGTCTGATACATAGTGGTAATTCTTTCTCTCCCTAGCTTCTAATTAATCTCTCTCTCGTACTCTCACTTGGAACTTTACAGCACATGAACTTGAATTAATTTTTAACCTTTTTTCACCATATTATTTTTTATACAATGGTAACACATGAAAAGAAAAAAAAAACACTATTATATAAGTATTTTGTTCTGCTTTGTTTTAAAACAAAACAAAATACATCAAATAAAATATTACTGAAAGTGACCAAAGGAAGAAGGCACTGAAATTATGAGAGAAGAGAGGGAACAATCAGATGTGAAAACGGAGGTTAAACTTCCACCTTTGCCTGAGGTTTGATTTTTCTAAGTTAGTGAAAAGAAGGAATTTATTAGAATGAAACCAATCTGCAACCACTCCTGCAGAGGACAGAATCTAAAGACCTCACATTTAGGTATGTAACTTTGCTATCTTGTGAAATTACCATGCTTGACATACTACAAATACATCTACTGAAATACAATCATGCTAATACAATGGCCTATTGACAGCTTTTCAGTAGCCTGAAACTACACTGCTTCCAACAGCTAAAGCAAATCCAACATTCAAGATAGCAAGGAAGAATGTCATTTTGACTTAATGCTTGCTGGATGTTAGTGCAAAGTGGAGACAGTGGGGGAAATAGCTGAGGATCAATCTTAATCAGAGATTCAGATGCAAAAT